GTGTAGGCAGATGCTTAATATTTTGCAACATGAGTGGGGAAAAAAAGGGAAATACAAGAATACACTAAAAAAGCACTATCCTTCAAATACTTATTAAACAAAAACTACATTACTTTAACAGCACTGAAAAGAGCAGCAATAAACTTTGACTGGGAAGGGCCATGAGAATCTGTGTATTCATGACGGAATTCCCTGAAGAAAGGAACCATATGGAGGATCCAAACCAATCTGTATTGCACAGGATGAATGTACACACACTGGGACAAACGTACATGCTGGAATTATGGACCACAGTAGGATCAGGACAAACACCACAGGTACAGGTGGCCACAAGTCCATCAATTGTTTTCATTCCCTGACACAACTGGGCCCTATATTCACCATTAAGATTTAAGTTGGGTGATGGTAAAACTGAGGAGGGAATTAAGCCCAAGAAAACACATAACATAACCAAAAGTGATAGTGTGACAAAGAACTTCCTTTTTAATTTCTTAACTGAAGTTTCAGGTCTCTCTCCTCAGAGAAGTGTAATCTAGCACAGCTTGCTTTAATTAAAGAAAGGCTATGATGAGGACACTGCTCCACGTGCTGCATATCCAAGATGATATGTAACCCTTCCATCTAATTTAGCAACAAACATTCAGCACTGTACAATGACTTATCACCTGTTTATTGCTGCAGCAAATCTTGCTGCAATGTGAATGACATGCTGAACATACCACACACAGTGAAACGACAGCTATTAAAACCAAAAATATCAAGTGGACTGGAAAAGCATTTTGAAAAGGAGGAAACATAAAACCAGGTCTTTGTAGCATTTGCTAAATACAGAGGCTCATCGTATTTCAGGCCATTTGTATTTAATTGTCCTTTCATCTGAAGAGTGGTGGATATGAATGCACATCAGGCAGCAGATGAGTCAGATGTTCTGAAGAGGTCCAATCAAGGACGCCCCACAACACAAGAGCACTGCATGCATAATGTCACACACAACTGACTTCAGCTACAGCCTCAAGTTTCTTCTCAGTGCCTCATCCTATTCCGTGGTGGTTATCCACCAAAGCACTGAGAAGAAATTAATAAACAGACCTGCAGTCACACAATTCAAAAAGTTCAAAACACATAAGACTCCAGGAATCTAATGTCCACACACTCTTCTAAAATTGCCAGGAAGACAAACTCAGATTACTAGCTAATAATCTAAAACTTGGGCTTTTGTTCTGCCGTTGTTTCAGTTGAAAGAAAAAAAGAGCTCATATTTCTTAAGGTCAATGCTTCCAAACGAGTTTATCAGATGAAGTCAGACTCACAATGGAATAGGTCACTCACAACACTTAAAAAAATCAGGTTTTGCTGTGGTAGAAAGACAAAGACATTACACTGATTACAGCACAAAGAAAGGAGAATCCCTGGTCTTTGATGGAGAAAGCAGGTAAACCATGGGCACAGGAGGTTAAACCTCCTGTGCTGTCCTTGAGGTAAACTACTGTGCCTTTTATACTGTCTTCTAATCCTTAGATGAGTTTCTCCATTTTGGTTTTAACAATATTAACTGAAGTGCAGAGGCAATCAGCAGACCACAACTCAGCCAAAAATTCAGTTGAATCATTAAAAGTGATTTACAAAAACAGACCATGGATAAAAGTCATTAGTTGTAATCCTCAACTGTTAAACTGGCTCTCTGCATTAAACATGAATTAATTAAACTGGAATTGTTAATTCAAGGTAAACATGGAAAAGAACTCATATTCTCTGTACTCCTTTTAATTCAGCTCTCAAACCAAACCTCATGTCCACACAACAACAAATGGAAAAAGGGATAGCTTGTGTGTAAATGAAAACCAGCTTGCGCTCTACATAGCCTACATACTGCAACTTAATACATTATTAAGTATAAATTCTAGCTCTGTCGTTATTTTGTAATCTTGAAGTGAAGCAATTTAGGCTCTTATTATGTGCTTTTTCCTTTTCTCATCAACACAGTTCCTCTTAGGGTACAAACGATGCTAGCTCTTGATCACACTCTTAAATCATCTTCATGCTGTTAGCTCTGCAAAGAATGATGCCTGCTCCAGAGCACTGCCATTGCTAATCACTCAGATCGGGTCTCTCATCGGTCTGTAAGTAGGAACAACGCTGAAGGCAGCAGAATGAAGATGAGATTGTTATTCTCTTCCTTTTCAAGGAATATATCTGAATGCATCCCTTTCCTTCACCTTCATGGATCACTCATCCTGCCAAGTACAAGTTCCCTCGTGCAAAAGCTATGGCTCCCTTGGCTTTGTATTGTACAAGAAACAACAGAACTACATACTCGAGGCATTGCCCAAAGCACAAATGAAAAACAGCATGAAAGAGATCCAGCCATGGTGTTCTCTACAGATATCTAGTGACAAAAGCAGGGACACTCATCTCAAAATAATTAAGAAAGTTTGAGGCTCAGTGGAGTCAACACTGACTAAACAAATTATTCATTACTGCAGCATCCTGGGCTCTGAAGCTCCACTTCACATCTGTGAGTGCACACATTCATACTCCACTGATGATGGGAACGGGCAGAGGTTGACCAAAGTCTCACCATGGGAGACTACCAGGTGGCAGAGATGCAGTACATACATTGCAGTTGAAGCTGTCACCTGTACCTACCACTTGCATTGTCACTGCCAGTGATGCCACAGGGAGATCCATACCTTTGGACGGATTATCAGCCCAGATGGGACCTTCCATTGCTTGTCAACAGGCCAATTGCCATATGCTGCTTCTCAGCCACTAAAAAGCTAAGAAAATGGTGTACAGGCAGCACAGGTTGCCTGCTGTGTCAGACTACAGCAAATAACCTGAGCAGTTTTCTTTCTGATCATCTTTATGCTTGAGGATAAATCATTTTGTATCAAGTTAGCCATATGAAAAGAAAGCCTCCAATATCACTCAAGGATGTCATAAGGCAGAGAAATATTCTGGAAGCTGCAGCATTATTATTTATCAGCTAGAGAAAGGCCATTCACTAAACTATTACAGAAGGCTTCAGACAAAAGTAGCGCTGCAACTGGGCAGGGTCCCAGCTCATCTGTTAGGCTGTATTGCAGGTACAACCATCCCCTGCACACATTGATATCTGAGAGAAATTGTCATCTTCTCCTAATGGTAACTCTGATTCTACCAAGGAAAAATCAGTTTCTGAATGCAAAAACCTTTTAGGACAGCTGAAATAATTAAATCATATTAACTTCTGAGCTTACAGGAAGAGCAATGAGAGCTTGTACTGCAGCATTTGAAAAGGTTCTATTAGGAAATTGTTCTGATTATTTTAATGCACAAAAAAAAAAAAAACCAAAAAACCCCTAGGGAAAAGAAATGTAATTTTCTTTTTTACCTGAGATGCTCCATTTAGGCAAGACACTGAAACAGGGATGTTACACAACAGCTCCAAGCGTTGTTCCGATGCTGTGCATGCCTCCTGCCCATCTGGAACCACTGTGTGCCTTCCAAGTTGCCCATAGTCTGCTCTGCCCCAGGTGAACACCTTGCCAGTTTCTAGACAGAAAATATATTTCAAGATTACTCATTCACTAGGTTCCTGGAACATCTGGATACCGATTCAAAACTAGAACGACAATTGGCAATGCTGGGTTTACGGCTGGACTAGATGATCGTAATGGTCTTTTCCAACCAAACTATTATTCTATGATTCTTAATGCATCTTACCTAAAGCTTCAAAAACCTAGTGAAAACTTACCTACTTCTGGGAGCAGAAGAAAAAAAAATTAAACTAGCTAAAAACATATTATGATGTACTTCTATACTGTTACTCAAACTTCATTAACTTGTTTCCTAGCAGAACAACATCTATAGGTTGGCCTGGGCTATAAATGAAACCATGTGAGTAAAACTGCATAACCTGGACATTCTGCATACAATATATACACTTTGGTTATACAAAGGACATCTTTCTATACAATATATACACTTTGGTTATACAAAGGACATCTTTCTATACAATATATACACTTTGGTTATACAAAGGACATCTTTCTAGCTTAACAGAAGCACACTCAAAACAGCTTATTCTGAAACACAAAAGATTCTTCTCTGCTCCCACTCTTTGCCATAGAGACATCCATTGCATGTCCTGTACTTCACATACAGTTTATGTTTCCCTGATAGAAGTTACCTTCTGTCACAACTTCTGTTCAGCCCTCAGGACAGGCACTGGTTAGTCAGAAACATCACCGCAGCTGTCATTAAGCATTGGAAATGTGCTGGTTTGCTTTCGCAGGAATCACACATTGGCCAAGGAAAGATAATTTTAAATTAAATCAGTAGTATATAGATCACCCTTCTCTCCACATATTATACTAGGTTCACTATGTCCATTCTCCAGTATAGATAACATCCATGAAGCAATGTTTTTTACTTTTGGCTCCCAATATTTAAAAAAAAAAATCCATACTAAGCAACAGCTTTATTTTTGTAACGAAGTAATGAGATCTCTGTAGGTAAATCATGAAAACCTGTCCCTTCTGGGCTTCCAACTAAAAAAGTTATATACACACACAGCACTAACAGTATGTTCTCAACTGGGTTTTAACTAGAAGCAGCAACCCACATTCCAGCCCAGAAGGAAGCCTGCAATGACCTTGAGTTATGTACACACTTCAGCCAAGCCTCAAACTCCTCTCTAGAATTGAACTCAAGTCATAAGCCAAATAATGTGTATTTGGGGAAAATACAACCAAGTCAAGCACGTCAGTTCAAACACGTTTCTCCCCTTGTCAGTCAGTACAGATGTTGCCCACAGAAGGGTTGGGAGCAGTGGGTACCAGTCACACCGCCCAAAGGTGACAACTGAGGGTTTTCTTAACACATGCCATAACACAAGTGCAATGGTCTACGGCTTCCCTGACTGTAAGATCAGAGCAAACACCAAGACCACCTACTCTGAAGTCAAACTAAGCTGCATACGCAACCTTCCCTGATGAATTAAGGGCTAGTGAGTCCATCTTCTGCCCTAAGCTGCTCTCTCCATGTTGAAATGTTTTCACTTTTCAGAAACAACCTCTCTTTTCAACAGGATTAATTTGTCTAACTACACTTGCCACCAGCTGCTTATTGTGTCTTTATCAATGACTGGAAAAAGCCCCTCGCTCCACTATCCAGTATCTTTTCCATGTGCCAGGGAATTTTGGTCTTTTTTTCTGCTACGCTCTGGGTATTGGTCTCCTTAAGGTTCACTCTGCAATTCTGTCATAGGATCAATTTTTGAGGCACTACGTTGAAATTTCAACAGTACACCTCATTGAAATGGAAGTAATAGAACTGGAAACAGTATGATCCCAGTGGTTTCATTCAGCCTTACAAAGGCTTTAAGGTATGCTCATCTCTGTTATTGTAAATTATTTCAGTAAGAAGAATGCAAGCATATTTGAGGAATTAAAACCAGACAACAATAATGCTGAGCTACCACAAAACATCTCCATCCACAGATTCTCTTTTCTTTCACTCAACAAGCAAGCACAGAATTACTTACACATGCAAACCAAACAGAGCCTTTAGGAGAATGCAAACTGTTTCTGCTTACAAGCAAACCGAAATAATTGTAATTATTTTTTTCTTATTTTGCCACTATAAGTGAAACAAGTTTCAGGTAGTTATTGGTAGGCAAACATGGAGAACATACATTAAAAAAAACCTAAAGCCAGATCAATTATTTTTTGCTTTTAGGCAAAACTTCTTGAATGCCCAAAGATTTGTTAAGCAACTTGTTCCTTCTCAGTGCTCATTATCTCAGTTCTCACTTCTATTGGCAGAAATTCCTTCCCCAAACTTGCTCCTGTTTGGTAAGCATTCCCCCTCCCATGCTCAGTCTCCTGCTAATGGTCAATCATTCCTATTTTTCAGATGAACACATCTGCCTAGGGATCCTTAAAGAAAAAAAAAAAAAAAAAATCTGTCTTTTCTGTGACAGAATCTAACAGAAGCTGATTTAAAGTGTCACCTCTATGAAATACTGATAATATTTTCAGCAAACAAACAACAACAAAAATCAGTCTCAAACAGAAATTTTAGGCTGAGGCAAACACCAATGCATGGAAAATTCCATGCAAAAAAGTTAAAGCTGTGTCAAAATCCTAAGCAAAAGCAAGCACTGAGTTATGACAGAAAGTGCTAAGCAATTGTGATGAGAGGTATTGCTACTGTGCTGCTTATAATATAGATGGTATTTTAAAATGTTCTAAGAATATTTGAGAAAAAGACATTAGTCATACAGAGTAAGGAGGTTGGAGGATGAATTACTTAAGAATGAAGGGTGATATAACAAGCAGTATTGGTCTGATATTAGAATAGAACAAATTTTAATTAGAAGTCAAGAAAACATACACAGTGATGAGTCAACTGGACAGAGTACATCAACCATGGAAGTGGCTGAGGCATCAGAAAACAAGATATTTTGTCCTAGACTTTATACAGTAAGAAAGCATAAAAGGCAGGGGCTATTTCTACAACTTGTGTGAAAGAAAGAAGCATACAACGTTGGAAAGCTTTTGCAGTTCTTCTGAGACAGTAACAATGCTTCCTAGGACCTTTATCTTGCCATGTTCCGAGCACGGAGGCTCCAACTCCAAAACACAGTTCAACTCCTCAACTGTGAACCTACACATTGTCCCAGATGACTTCATTGCAACTCTGCCTTTTTCCATCAGGCAAGTGCTACATCAAATAAAGGCCAGAGGGTTCAATAACATTTGGAATTAAGGAGTAACAGATATCATTCACGAATCTTGTGTCCTTCCAGAGTACAACCTGAACAAAACATACAGGGCAGAAGCTAGAACAGAAGGAGAGAGGTCAGAAGATTTTTATTTTAAGAAAAACTTGCCAACAGCCCCTTAAGCAAATAGTACATACAACAGTATGCTACATCATTTGAGATTCTACACAGTCATACAGATCTAGTTTCCTCCTGCTCTTTGAACTGTAAACACAGCAGTCTGCATCAGTATACGTACAGCAGCAAATCATCTGAAACACATGCTCACGTTCCTCACAGAATACAGATGAGGGTACGTGCATACTCCAGCGCTTGCAGCACTACACCAAGCACTCCACTACCCGAAAACCTCCTCTGCATTTTTTTCACATCATCCTTCTGTCCTTATGCTATCACAAAGCACAGACAGCGGAGAATGGCCTCAAAATTACAAGTTCACAACCTTCAGAGTATTGCAAATCCAGCAACATAGCATAAAGCACTTCCAGTTGCTTCCTGCCTGACACTGTAGCTCTTACTGGGCTGCTTTATGGTGCTGCTGAGGCAGTAGAACATGTCATTTTTCCCTTTTAGTACTTTCTTAATCAATCTGCTCAGCCACATAAGTATTTGGAGGCAATCAGCAATTTAAAAAAATGCATTTTAGTTTTAAAAACAGGTTGGTTTCTCAGTAAAACACAGCAGAAAAATAGGAACATTAAAATTTACTTATTTTCACTAGATTCAGATTCATCCTCATATCAGTTTTCCTGTTTTGAGATAGTATTATGATTGCCGTAGCATTATCTCCTTGAAGTCTCTGTTTGGTATCCAGGTAAGCTTTGAACTAACCTTTCATAAATGCTAGATAAAAGAGGTCATTGAGGCTATCTTAATTCATGGCTACTTTAACAATTACTTTTCAAATGAACTCTGGATATTCACACTGAATGCTTAATCTCATTCAGACTTGAAATAGGAAGTTCTATATAAAATTCTTAATGCTTCCTTTCACATGAAAATTCACAGGAGCAGGTATTAAAAACTGACATTTAGAAGCTGCCTCTGCCTCCTCCCTGCCCCACAACAGGCAGGAACCAGTACCTCTCCCATAACTGCTGTTGTCTGCTGTTCTTCAGGACAATCACTTATGTCCTTCAATCATCCCAATAAACTTCCTCAGCTACCTAGAAACAGCCTCTGTGCAGGGCAGCCTTACAGAAAAGCTGTCATCCATCCATCCTTAATTCCCTCTAGGCTGAAGACAGCTTTAATTCAGCAGCTGGAAACCAGGCATCACTACCACACCTACAGTCTAACACCTGTACCTGTGCATGGTTTCAGTACAAAGCAAGATTATCTGCTCTGACAAAGGTTTAAATGGCCCCTTCATCCTCTTATGTGGGAGTTCAGTGTACCAGAGCTGCCCACATCTCTTAACACATCTTCTTTCTATGACCTCCTTACAGACTTCTGCATCTTTATATAATAGGGCACACTCCTGATTTTTTTTTCCATATTTATTTATAATAGCTATTAAAAATGTATCACTAAAACACAAATCTATACATAGTATTGAGGTCATGCCTCTTCAGGAAAATTCAGACAAAACAGCAAAAGCATTTCAGGGACGTCAGCAATAGAAAGTTAAGAGATAATTTCAATTGCCATTTTCAGCCTTCTGCGGTCACAGGTCACAAAACATAACTAGATCAGAATAGGCCACAGAGCATCTACTCAACATGCTGCATCTCACAAGGGTTTCCAAGCACCCTATAAATAGGTT